CTTTGCACATTCTACTGGTGTTAAGAATAAAGCTGATTTTTGTTGAAACTAAATCTTCTCCTATCGCTTCATTAAAGAACACGCGAGGATAAGGGTTTAAAGAGATCCCCTTTTCTCAACAACATGTATGAATTCAAAATTACTGATCTGCTTACTTTGTTGTTTGTTATTTATATAAATGCAGTGCTGTTTTATATTTATTTTTCGTTCTCACTGGATCACTCTCTTTGTTTTCATAATTTTTGCAATTATACTCAAGGATTTGTACAAACAATTTAAAACAATAATTTCACAAAATGAATTGTATTAAACATGCAGTTCTTTTCATTGTGTGTTAAATTTGAATTGAATATGAAGAGTGAGGATTCAATTTGTATCTGCAATCTTTTGACTCCAATATCCAATTGTTTTCCAGTTGCCACTGACACACAGGTAAGAGAGTGATCTTACATAGACATAGACACAGTTTGCATTGGTTTGTTGTTTATTGAAGGAGTTGAACAAAAAGATATGAACGTACCATGTTTTCCAGTGCTGCAAGTTGTAGGATAAGGTGTTGCTCTGTGCGTCTAGTTTGGTGAGACCTGTGTGTGCTCCCTCTACCTTGGCCCTCATTTCCTATCACCTATGCCCCTTAGATGGCTTGGCGTCTTGGACCCTGCAATGAAGTTCTGCTTACTCAGCCAGGTCAGAGCTACAGACTGAAACTGAGACTTGGTCCAACCACATTCATTCAATTTCCATTTTTCAATAATGTATACTAAGATAATTTATTTATGGTCACATGATTTTGAAAAGTAACTGCAGGGCTGTTACAACCACTATATCAGTCTGCCAGTCTGAACATGTACCAATAAAGACAACTGATCCTGTGGTGTGGACATAATGGTTTTAGGTTTTGAGTTTGAAACTCTCCATTGGTGGTCTTTGGTTTAATCATGCCTTTCCTCATAAAGGCCTGGAAATCTGATGTTGTATGTCATGTCATTAAAATCCTTATTCCGCAACTTTTTCTTGTGTCATTAAAATAATTAAATAAAAAGTAAAATATAGACAATTCATTCTGAGGCTCATTGTTGGCTGGCTATAACATGTATACATAATAATATCAAAAATCATCACAATAAACACTATGTAGAACTGTATTCTGGATGACTTCTCTTAGTAAAGGCCAAGATTGAAGAATTCAGTGTTCAGTTCAACTGCTGGTTTACTGGGTGTGTGTGTGTTTCTGAAAATGACTCACTGACTCAATACTAAAACTAGATACTAAACCACAAAGACGCCTTTCAGCTGCTTTCTGTTTCCATCTGTGCAAAGAAACGTTTATTTTATTAATATTGTAAACTGTGTCCAAATGTTGTCACTCATTTAAGATAAAATAAGACATTCCTTTATTGATCCTGCATAGGGAAACTCATATTTGGCACAGCAAAACAGGGGAATGTAGTTCAAAGAGAGATAAAGAAAACATAATACAATATATACACATAATGCAATAAAGTGGAATATGATAAGCCTGTGTATAACTGTACATGTGCAATGTTTCAAGGTATTGTGCAAAAAAGAGTTCAACAGTTGAACCCCTCAACAGTTTAATAGTTAACTCAATCAGCAGAAGTAGGAGGTACTGGGTGCTGTGGTTGTGGATATAGGAGGTTGGTGGCTGATACAAATGTGCAAAAGAGAATCTGAAGCCTTTTGAAGCTCGGGGCTGGATCAGTCTGTGGCTAAAATGGCTCCTGAGCTGCCTCAGCTCAGTGTAGAGAGGATGAGACTACAGATTGGTAGAACATCCGTAGTAGCCGAGTGCAGATGTTGAAGGACCTGAGCCTCCTTAGAAAGAACAGCCTGCTCTGTTCTTTCCTGTAGAGGGCCTCAGTGTGGTCTGTCCAGACCAGTTTATTGTTATTTTATGATTCATGTTTCATAAAACCATAAAGCTGCAAATAGTCCAAAGGCCAATCTATACAAGTAAGCAGTTCCTTTTCAGGTAAGCCAACATAGAATAACTTGTATATCATAATCTAATACAGATTGACTGCAAAGCAATAATAATTTATGTGATTCTTGTTTGATTTGTAGTAGAAATACAATAATTATCTGACTAAATGAAAGCAGACTGTACCGCAAGACCTACAAAACGCGAAAGCTCAGGGCTGCTGTCGTTGAATTCTTTTGTTCTGTGCATAAACAAGTTTAGGCTCGTAAAACAGTGGAGAGATCTAGATATTGGTCGAAAAGTCTTGTTCTTAAGGTCACTGCTGCTTTTTAAAAGTTGAACCTTGTGTTGAGTGCCAGGAGTTGATATTGTAGGGAAATCAAATTTAATATGTTAATTGTTAACATTTTGTTTCATTCAGTATGCATATTTTGAAAATTTGCTTCTATTGTCAACAAAAACATTACTATGTTATTTTGATTAAAACCATTTCTTGATGCTTAAATGTGATGCTTATAATTTGAAGGAAACATGGTTGAGTTTAATATGCAATTAAGGAGTGTCTTGTACGACATTTGGCTTACAACCCATGATGTATTGCATATATTGAACTTTGGACTCATTTGGTCTGTATGTAGTACTTATTTTAGCTACTTTCAGTTCAGGGGTTTTAGGTGAAAATATCCAATACTTTTACTTAGACTAAAACTCCCATACAGAATTAAGTTTGATTTGATATTAGACTAAATTGAATGTATCTAATGACCCTGTTTATTTCAGAGAGAAAAATGTGTCTGTGCAGCTGCTGGGGGTTGTGCATGTTTATCCTCTGCTGTCTGCCAATTTCCACAGGTAAACTGACAAACTGAATGGTTGAAAGGTGTACCTAAACATATCCAACATGTCCTTATATGAAAAGGAAATATCTGTTGTTTGTCAATGGCTTACAATTCCTTAAAACAATTGCAATTCACCCAATGGAGCATTCATGGTCCCCTGACTGTTATACTGTATATTAAAGAACAAAATAGTTGCATACTTCCATACTGAAATAGTGAATTTTTCAATGTTTAATCATTGGAACATTTATGCACATATATCCCTTTCTCCCCTCCTTACAGAGCAGTCGAACCTGATTTGTTCACATCAACCAATCATAGCCCTGGCTGGTGATGATGTCATTCTACCATGTCACCTTGAACCTCCAATCAGTGCCAGTTCTGAGACAGTGGTGTGGACCAGACCTGGTTTAGACCCAAAGTACATCCATGTTCACCAAGATGGACGACTGATGTATCAAAGTCAAAATCCATCTTATAATTACCGAACAAGACTGTTTGTGGATGAACTGCAGAATGGAAACGTCTCCATGAAAATCTTCAAAGTGAAAATCTCTGATGCAGGAAAATACTTTTGCTTCCTTCCTTGGTTATGGAAGGAAGCTTCCATCCAACTCGATGTTGGTAAGTCAGACAATGTTTGTTTGGGAAATGATGAACATCTGTGTTGAAATTCATTGACCTACCCTTTTACAGTAATGACATTTTTTAGTCATCATGCCATCAACATGTAGAAATATGCAGCACTGCAATAGGATATGCATATTTATCTCATAATTGACTTATGACTTTCCCATCACCAGGTGCTGTCTCCCCACCTATTGTTAGTTTAGCAGGGACTGATAAAGCCACCGGAGGACTGGTTCTACAGTGTGAGTCTCTAAACGGGACTGGTATCCAGAGCTGAGGTTTCTGGCTGACCGTGAGGGAATCCTTCTGCTGACACAACAGACAGTCAGAGTCCTGATGACTCTATATCTGGTCAGCAGCAGAGTGATGTGCGGAGAAAAGACACAGCAACATTTCACGCGTCCCATGTAGAGTTCCAACAACTGAGACTTAAACAAACTAAAGCGACAAGTGATCCATGTCAGGTAGAAATTATTAACTAGCTATTAATTGTGGCAATTGGTGCAAACCAATAGCTTTAACAGCCTAAGATCCAGACTTACGTGATGGTTTTTAAAAAGAATATTTCAGAGGATTTCTTCATGGCTCCATCTAGTTGTACTGCTAAGATCAGCATTAGCGTGGTGGCTGTTTGCTTAATATTTGCAGCACTTGGTTTTGCTGTGTGGAAATTCAAACTAAACAAAACCAGTAAGTCATAAACTATTTGTACATGTCAAGTTACTTTGTCTGTATTTTGGCAGAGAAAAAACATCAGGTGTCTTCTATTGTATAATTGTAATATTATTTTCAATAGACACTGAAACAAACCAAGAGCACAAAACTGATGGAGAAACAAACACATCTAAAAGTAATGAGACAGATAACACAGAAAAGGAAAAAAAGCCACTAATGAAAACTCAGACACATCCAAAAAAGGATGTGAAAGTGGAATCAAGAGAAAAGGAGACAAAAACTGTAAGTAATGAACAAAGACATTATTTATAGTTTCTTTATTTCTCTTTTATTTTCTCGTTTTGTAAGAGTTTAAGTTATTATTGTCTTCCATGGGCTTTTTTAACTATCATTTGTTGAAAATATAAAGGCCAGGGCCCTGTTCTTCAAACATTGCCTCCAAATTAAATTACAAAATACCCTCCAAAGTATTACTCTGTACTCTGTACTCTGGACCTAGTGTAAAACCATGATCAGCACGGATTGACAAGCAAAGTACCACAAGATTCTTTATAACACACAGCTCTAGTTAATTTTAAGCTAATGAATGCCACTTACTGTATTTAAAATACATCCTATAATATACAGAATCATGTATCTAAACTTTGGCCACCTCTTTGGAAGTCTAAGCATTGTTTCTCACTCCAACATCTCATCTATCAATCAAATCTGTGGGCGGATACTACACAAAGCAATTTTTTTTTAACTTTCTCCTCCCTCAGACATCCAGCATGGACAGCGACAACATACCAGCCGACAGCAATGTGATTGTAGATGAGGTAGACCCGAATGGAAAGTTTGTTCGTCTCAAAAACAAGTCCAGCGAGGTAATGTTATGCATGAGTTAAAAGTCAGTTTACATTAATATACAGCTAAGTATTTCCAGCATTCATAACCTGATTTCTTTCATACAGAAACAACTGCTCGCTAACTGGAAGATGGATATAAAGGTCAACAAGGGTAACATTACCTATACGCTTCCAGCAATTTTCCTTGATCCAGGAAACGTGGTCACTGTAAGTAACAATTGCTTTTACTGTTTACTTATTTTCTTCATGCTGAAAGGGGCACTCCAGTGATTTAGTATTGCACATCCAAATTGGAAATCATGAGGGAATCAAAGCACTAGATCCTATAATTTTCATACTCACAGTGTCTTTATTTGCCTTGATTACATCATCAGGTTAAAGGAAAACATTTTCAAACTTTGGAAAGCTCCCTCCAGAGCCAACGAAAAAATAATGCAACAGCTTTCAAGAGATTTTACTCTTTTGATGAATAAATAAAAATCATTGCCCATTTAAATTTACCTGATTAAATTTGAACTATGAAGCAATGTCTTGTTGAGCTGGATCCTGACCAAGTTATTAAAGTTGGGTTAACTAATACTAAACTACATACTAAAACTATGTATGAAATAACTTTTTAATTAACTGAAATACAAATAACTTTAATAACTATATTATGTACTTATGACACTAAATTAAATTAAATTAAATAAAAATATGCAGGAAATGTCTTTGGTTTTAGTCAGTCAATTCTGTCAAATGTGTCAACACAACAATGTGATTGCATTGTAATACTTATTCTGAGCTCCTTCAGTCTTACCCCTGACAAACACCCCCCATATTATAAATTGAGAAAACTAAAACTAATAAAAAGTTAAATATAAATAATATATAATAAATATAATATCTACTATTCAATTTCAGTTCAGTTGTATTTGCCAAATCATTACAGAAGCTATCTCAAGACACTTTTCATATAGAGGAGATGAAGACCGTACTCCTTATAAAGTCATTTTACAGAGACCCAACAATTCAGACCATGAGCAATCACACAGGGGCAAGGAAAAAATGTCCTTTCAAGAGGCAAAAACTTTGAGCCGACCCCGTCTCTAAGTGAGCGGCAGACTGCCTCAACCAGTAGGAGTTATAGAGTTGAAGAGAATGTTTCTATATGTTTCTACAGTAGCTCAGAAGAGGCAGACCAAACACTGGCTCAAGACACCTTTAAATTGTATTGTGAATTTTAATGGGATACAGTGTAGAGAAGCTAATACAGGAGAGATATGATCTATTTTACTGGCAGAACTTGTGGTGCACCAGTTTGGATCAACTGGAGAGTCTTAAGGGCCATATTGGGGCATTGGCTGCAACTGCTTTAAGGGAAGCACAGAGAACTCCATCTCTTCCTCCTGCTCTCAAGTCAGGGTTGCGTTTCAACTCTGGCACACAAAGAAACTAAAAAATGTCAAAAGTCATCTTTGCAAATGTTTTATGAAAACATTTTAGTTGGAAACACTGTATGAAAACAAACATTTACACATAACTTTAATGTAAAGATTTTGCATTCTTAACCTGAAACTATATCTTTTCAGATTTGGGCTTGTGATGGTGGAGGAAACGTCAAATCTCCAAGTGATTTAGTTTGGAAAGAACAGAAGTCCTGGGGCATTGTAGATGAAGTCACACTTAAAGGGCCCACAGGAGAGGTCTGATATCATATGACAATACACACCCAAAAACATATTTATGCCCTTCTTCCTGCTTATGTTATAACACAGTCTTCTTTTTTATTTTATCTCCAACAGAAAAGGGCCATGATGAAAATAAGCCATCCATAATACTGAAGATGCATGCTGTTAAACCTATTGTTGAAGGCAAAAGATTATTAACTTTAACAAATACTGAACAGAAAACACTAAATGTAACAGTAAGCCAATGCAGAACACTGTAACACTCTGTCTTATGTCTGTGCTTAAGTAAATAATAAATATTAAAAAAAACACATAAACTTTCATGCATTTGTTAGACCAACAGGTCAAAAGATTAGGGGTGTTTCTGGCTGCTGTATATGTAATACAATCCGATCAGTGTTGTAAATGTTTTGAATTATTCATCATTCATTACTGACCATTCAACCATCCACTCAACATCCATCTTTTCCAAACTCTGTATTAATATGGTATAAGTCATTGTGACCTCCAGACTCTATACACACAGTTCCTCATCTGTATACCACCAACATATTGTTAATTCATTTCTGAAGGACTTGCTGTATTGTTCTTTATTTGGCTCCAAGCAGAAACCACTGTAGGTGCCTTATTGATCAGAAATGTGGTCAGTGTAATCTAAAGACCTTTGCAATGAAAAATCAAGTGTCCAATTTTGACATTTTTGTCTCGAAACAAGAAGTTGTTGTGAATTCAGTGGTCCAATCAGCTCCAAATTTCACGTATTTGTTCTGGCCTAAACACATCTGCATGCCAATATTCAGTTATAGTCATAGCGACACCTACTGGCAACCGGAAATTATGTGTTTTATACGTGTACAACTCCTTGCCGATTGGCCAGATCCAGTTGAGATTTGTTCAGAAGACCCTTAAGATATTGATGATGATATTTAATTTTTTTGAGTTTGTGGCATGGCATCACACATCTATGTTGACCTACCTCAACGGCGCCACACACCCCGACACGCACAGACTGAGGGCTTGTTCATCGCTCCTTGCAGCTAATTACGGTGTGTTATTATTACTGATTGAATAATAATGTAAACTGAATTGAAATTGTACTGAATTTTGTAGGATGTCTATGATGATTTATAGTTAGAAAAATGACTATCTATTGATGACTCCATTTTTTGCGGAAATTGCTTTCATTTTAATAATAAATCATTATGTTAACAGCAAGTTGTTGTAGTTGATTCCTGGAGAGCTGCTCCTTTTCTGTTTCTACTGATTTTTTTTCTGTTCAGTCAACATAGCTCATTCCATTAGATTCATGATCCATTTGTTTGATCCATACATTCAACAATTTCTATAAACAGTTTGTAACAATAAATGCTACTTGCACTAAACATATAATTTGTTCATTGTGTGAGTTGAATTTAAAGCTTTCTATATGAAAGGTGTCACTTGTAGTGGTGAACCCACACTATAGCTCTGCAGAGCTCCTTGTATGTGTATGTGTTGTACTTCATGATCTGACTACATTGCATAGTGCTGTCACTGTGGAGATGAATATTTAATAATACTACAATATGAATAATATGTATACATGAATAATATTCACAATATTTCACATTTATTGGTTAAAGGATATGCTGTCAATGATATGTTATCAAATGAAAAATAATGTCCTAGATTGATATAATGTGACTAAAAATAATTTTGAAAAGAATAATTGTCATATATAATCCCCTTCCTGTTTACCTGATGCAATTCCAAGCAGTTGCTGATTTCTGCCACCAACATGCAACTGCAAAGCCCTGCACAACATCAACATCTGCAAGTCTGAGTGTGTGTGTGTGTGTGGGTGTCATTGCATGAATACAAACATATACAGTCCAGTATTTCAATCACTTTATTGGCTAAAATAAAAATCAACTTTACCTTACATACACATTTATGATACAATAATCATTTAATTCATAGAGAACTTTGAAACACACAGTAATATAAAATTAGAGCACACCTAAAAACCAAAACGATAAAGAAGCAAAAGAAATATGCAGAAATAAAGAAAAGAAGAAAAAAACAATGTCACTACAACATGTTTGGAAAACATTAATTTCTTTAGTCATTCATTTTTATC